ACAATGGACGAGGAGGGCCACCTCAAACTTCCAACCTCGTACTGAAAAAAATCTAGTTTTGAAGATTATTTGTATGTTTTATTTAGAGAAGATCTCTATATTAACTGATATTTCACTTGAATAGAAGTGGGATTTATATTTATAATCTATAGAACTCAAAGGACATAAAATCTAGAATTATAGGACATAAGGACTATACATACATACATACACATAAATTTATAGTATTTTTTCCACAAGATTTTAAATAGTGATTTCAATATGCTTCAAAGTTTGAATAGTATTTATCGAACATTGCTTTGTCATTTCAAGTGATACAGTAATAGTTCTGAAACTTCATTTCATTTTACTGCCTCATTTTCATGTTAAAATGGTCATGTGACAACCTTTGCCTACAGTACTTGGTGTGTGTGTTATACGCATCCCAAATGCCAATCTAGGTGATTTTACAGGCACAAATGCCTTGAAACAACAGTACATATCTAGGTATATATGCACTTTAACAATTAGCCTCGTTATCATGTTGATGTGATCACGTGACCATTAACGCCTAATACTGTAGTTAACATACTAAAAACATCCCAAGTACTATAATTTAGGTGATTTTACATCCAATACATGGCTTGGAACAACCGTTTATATGCACTTTAACTATTAGCCTCGTTTTCATTTTAAAATGGTCATGTGACCACCTTAACGCCTAATACTGCAGTCAACATGGTCAAAGCATTGCAAGTGGTAATTTAGGTGATTTTACATCCAATACATGACTTGAAACAACCGTTTATATGCACTCAAGTTAGCAGCCTCGTTTTCATGTTGAAAAATAATATAACAATAATAAAACCTTAATAAAAAGTCTCCAAACAAAATTCACGACTGTCAACAACACTTTTTAGCATCAGTAGGGTCTAATAAACATATCTAGACCATTGGCTTGCTTTCAGCAGAAAATTCCTACGGGATTATATTTTCAGACATATGCTGCTGGACTAGTTCCAGAATACTCACACTCTTCCATGCATCAACTAAAAGTATTCATTTCAAGCCTTGTGTTCTGAATAATCAGYGATTATAGGTGCAACTAACATAAGGAAACTGAGAGGAACTTAAAAATTAGACTCACTGAACAAAAACATTCTACTAAAGAACAAAGACTGTAACAAGCACATATCCACTAACTGGTCATAACATTGACTGGGACTCTTGSTACTTACATCACATATTGGCACTGACTGCAGGCACAATAATGCTGCTTACTTGAAAACTGTGMAACTAATAACCAACTCACTTATTGCTCAAAACATCTTTTGTAGGCCAGAAAAGTCCTTGAGGAGACTAAGCGAGATGCAGAGTTACATCATGCAGCATGCAATTTCAAGAAAAGACCTGGACARATGTATTTTTTGTATCGAAGAGAAAATCAGACAACTTATTTTTCGATGTTGTCACCTCAGGTGATTGCATGTACAATTAGCTAATTTATACGATGACTGACATAGTTCATCTTTAATTGTCCTCTGAAGCTTTTACGTTATGTATCATATAATTATGCAATGCATTGTAGGATATGTTTGGTACAGAACATGGCAGATTTCTTTTGTTTACCCACAATGCATATTAAAACGCAAGTAGTGACTTAAAAGGTTCAAGGTCAATTGCATGATATTATAACATCAGGTGAAATTTGTTCACTATAGTAGTTAAGTCAACTATAGACAATAACCATGATTTTAATTATATGCTATATATTGATTCAGGATTGGGGTTCAACTTGTCCTCACGAGTTCCTTGGTGCTTACAAGCTTGAGGCAGATATGTCATGGACTAAAGCAGAAGATGTTGCTAAAAGAAGCAAAGATATTCAAATGGTTGATCATTTATTGTCTTCTCAAGTCCCAGCAATACAGTATGTCATGGAGACACCTAGCAATGGAATTAACCACTCATCAGAGAAAATAGCAATGATTGAAAAAGAAACCTTTTCAGAGGAACCTTTGAAGTCCAGTGATTGTGTGACAACTATGTAAAAGTCAATGTCTGAACTAGTAATCAAGAACAGACTTAACCATCTATGAAATACAAATATACAATAATTTTACATTTTTACAATCATAAGTACTTCCGATACTGTCAGAATTCTCGGTATAATTGCATTCGAATTCATTTAGTTTTGTTTTGTTGGTTGGCTTTTTTTGTTTTTGTTTTGTTTTGTTTTTGTTTTGTTTTTGTTTTGTTTTGTTTTTCTCATGAAATAACAACAATTTAAGCTGTTAGTTTATATGACTATATCCATGCAATAAGCTTTTGTTGAAAGTTGATATAATTGAAAAGATTAGCTTGTACTGTGTAAATGGTAAGTGAATTAAATTTCTTTTGTTACATCAACAATCTAAAGTACTGTATAACCATGCAATAGATCATAGATAGTAATTTAAATGCAAACTGCAGCTTTCTACATTTTAACATTTAGCTAGGAAATAGAGCTGAAGTTAGTCAATTGCCCATGTACTATTAAGTGAWTCTGGAATCCAGTTTATAATGGAATCCGGAATCCACCCTTTTTGSAGTCCGGAATCCGGATATGAAATAGTTGAAACAGCTGGTAGAGTGTGTGACGTTGTCCAAATCAAGTTAGCCAATGGTTTTGGTGCTTTGTCATTCATGTAACCACGAAACGATCATGATTGAATTGGTGATTGCGACCATCGAGGTCTAAAGGGCTGTTCGTTGTTTATTATGTGCAGGGAGGGGCGGTGTTTTTATGTAAGGGGTACAATTTTAAAAATCTTTCTTTCAAGAGGGAGTATATTTTTCCAAAGGATGTCTTAAGCGAGGGGTATGAATAATTTACCACATTCCACTTCTTCTCCCACGAGATCACCACTCAACCTTATCGAGCTCGTCCGGCACACGTTACACATTAATATATTGCCGGGTTTTTTAATTTTTATTTTTTCTATATATTTCTTCCGWCTATTTCTTATATGTATTTTGTTCTTATTTAATCATTCTTTTCTTTTTACGTTTTGGTTTTATTTCTCATTTAAATTTGTTTATGTTTCTACTTATTTCCATCYATTCCTTCCTTAAGGTGTTTCGATYGTAATAAATAGCGCTTCGCGCGTATTTTTAAACTCCAACTACGTCGCAAATTTCAATTCGATTGCACTCAAATTTTCACAGACGTAACAGTGATTATCGATATTTTTTGTTGATAAATTAATTTGCCAATAAAACCATTAAAAACCAATAAGGCCATTTGGATAAACGATGCAAAATAAAAGCAACTTCATTTTTCTTCAAAGTTAATTTTCTSGGAACTCATCCCAGAGATTGTAGTAAAATTTTCAGAATCATTTCTTAATAACATAGAGTGATCGCACTTAATCCGTGCAACTGTACAAACTAAATAGTTCTTTTTAGTTGTATTTAGTAAATCGTGCATGCGGTACGTAAGTTAAATTGAATTTTAACAAATG